GTCAACTCAGGATTACAAGGCAATTAAATGCTTGGCAGGCCATGAGTCAAAGGTCACTAGTCTGGATATTAGTGGAGGTAACCATTTGCTTAAGCACCTAAACTTCTTTGTGTGCAGAATTATTTGTGTGGCGCATTCTTCAAGAATAACTAATTTAGTCCTTTCTTTATCTTGTCACACTAAGAAACAAGTTGGATCATTCACATTCACATCTTTTGCTGTTCACTTGTTTATTTATTTACAGCACAACAATTACATAGTGCACTCTAGATTGTCTTACACTAGTAGGACTTTCTTTTTTCTGAACTAGCAGCCGTTATTTAGTGAAAACGGCTAAACTAAGATTCTAAGATTGACCATCTTCCTTTGAATAGTTAAACTGCAAGATGTACCACCTCATAAAATGCATGACACCCCTGTTACTCTTCCCCTTGTTTTCCTTCAATTATTATTATTTGAATGTGTGACCTTTATACTTTTACTAATTCTAATCATCCATAATATTATGGTCCTGTCATTTGATTATTCATGCTTGGTGGTGCACTGCTCCCTTTGCCTCTGTTGATTGTGTTCCTTTCCATCGCGTCAATTCTTCTATGACATATTTGGTGAAAATATCACCCTTCTGGACTGTTTATTGTTGACATGAAAATGTTTTGAACAATATTGATAGGTTCTATAGTTAATAAAGTTAATTTTTGTCTACTATACTCTTTCCTCAAGAGATTGACTTCGTAGTATTGTGTTCACTTGCCAAGTTCCAATCGAAGCATCAAACTAAACATCTAATTAATGGTTTATCTATATGATATGTGCAGATGGACAACAGATTGTGACTGTTTCACATGATAGAACTATAAAGATCTGGTCATGCAGAAGCACAGGACGGGATAATGAGATGGAGTTGGATTAAGGCATTGATTCCACTTGCTGGAAACAGGTTGTGCTAGTCTTGTCCTTTCGCTGATCTGTTGGTCCAAGCTGTTTATATTCGATGATGCTATTTTATTGCATTTATAACCCTTAACCCTTGTGCACAATCTTGACAAATGTACCTCATAAGTATTTCGTAAGATTTTGGAATCGATATAGTTCTTTAAACAAATGGGCTTTCTGGTAAAAACATGAAGTTAAGTTTGGAAGAAGTATTGGCGCATCCATGTAATTTTCATACTTGTAAAATGTACTATCTTCATGATGTACGCTTGCTGCAAATAGAAATCGAAGTGCAGTTGCAACTTGCAATAGTACTCACTCAAAAGTAATCCAAAATAAGTCTGTCTTTTAGTAGGACCCCCCTTTATTTAACCCAAATGATAAGTGCCACCCATAATTCAAATTATTAGTGCCACATGTGTGGCACGAAGCATTCCGGCCCTAACTTACGTTACAACTAAAGTTGCCATTTG